ATAGACAACTGATCACATGCCAAAATATTGTTTAGTTTGTGAGGTGGTTTCAGCAATATGTACATTTAAAAAAATGAAACCACTATGCCTGCCAGCAACAATAAAAAAATAGTTATCAATTGGCTCATGTGCAAAACCAGGTACGACACCCAAGAGAAAAATAACAAGATGCTTAGAATCATGATGACAAATTCACTTCTTTTTAAGGGGCAGTTATCAAACTTCAACATGAAAACTTTTTTAAAAGTACATGTCGTGGCAGAGCTTGGTAGTGACACCTGCACATCTATTCCTTCCACTTTCCACAGAAATAGATTACTTGCTAGACACATGGAAGCCTGAAAGAAATTATTATTTTTCATCTTCCTCTGTAGCTAGGGATGGCCATGGTGTAATCAATGAGATATAAATGGAAGTGTCATGTAACAACTTCTAAGAAAGTAACTTTTGAAGGAAGGAGGGGTACACCCTTTTTCAATTCTTTCTCCTCTTTGTTGTCTGGAATGCAGACTTGATGGATGGATTTTAAGCAGCCAACATGGCCCATGACACAGAAACTCACATTGAGGATAGCAGAGCGACAGAACAGAATCCTGGGTCCTTGCTACTGTGGACCATCCTACCAGCACAGGATTACTACCTCCCAATTTTTTTTTTTTTTAACGTGAAAGGGTAATATACATCTACCTTCTTTGAAATATTGTTTTATGCTTTTGACCATTCACAGCCCAAACCAATCCTATCTAAACTAGAGTGCTCCATGTAACAGAACCTGAATGGATGGCATTAGTTGAGTTGGATAGCAGCAGGTAGGAGGAACTCATACTGCAGGCTGGAAAGCAAACTAATGTTATATGTTGGCAAAATATCTGGTCATATTGTCACCTGCTGAACCTTGGAAGATAGACCCAGTGTTAGGTAAGTCTGGAGCAGTGGAAGTGTTACAAACGGTTCAGAACCTTAAATACTAGCTGGCTCCTTCTCCCTGCTCTTAGCAACAAGAAACTCAGACTAGAGCTGGCCAGCTGCAAGCTGAGACTTAAGAAAACTGAGCTTTTCTTAGAAAATCTCTCTGTTTGTGAATTTACAGTCTAATTTGACCAAGAATCCTGTGATTTTGAGGTTTGCAGGTTTGCAAAAGCCAAGCCAAGCAATTACAAGCACTGGGTACAATACCACGGAAGACAGAACTGGTGCCTCTTCATACACTGGCCCAGTCCTCTGGCACTGATGGGATTAAGAGCGGTTCAGAGGGTCTGAAAGGAGTCATCAGGAAGTTCAGAGGGTGGGGATGAACAGAGGCCAGAGGGCAATAAATCAAAGCGTCTTCAGGTTCAAAACTATGTCCTGACCTGACTTTTGACTTGTTCATGGAACTGACAAGAAACAAACAGACTGAAAACGCAGTAAATTTTTGAAGGAAATGGGTTGCCAAAGATACACCAGGATGGTCTGCACAGCATGTGACTGCACAACTCTTAAAGCAATTCCCATGTCTCAAATCAGCACCACAAGGAAGCAGGCACGGAAGGATTAGAACCCAGCCAGAAGATCATAGTCCCTAGGCCTATCACAGATATGGCCATGACGGACAACCGGCTAGAGAGTTTCTCTCACAGAGTGAAATCAAAGCTCATCAGATGGGAGAGCTAAAGAATGCCCTTTCTACCAAGCAGGATTTGTTATAATACCCATCGAATATGTGTGTTTCACAGTCTCCCATTTTTCAAATGGGAATTTAAAAAATTATAATTATCTTATTTTTACTTCATTTTAAATGGGCAGTTTGGTGTTGCCCTTTAGTTTATAGCCATCAGTCCATAGAAAGCCACAGCTGGACCTTCTGAAAAGGACAGAGCATCAACGTTATCACAGTACAACAGGACAGGGTAATTATGTGGGGCTGGGTTATCTCTCTCAGACAAAGGCTAAAGTCCTGTCAAATGAGACAGACTAAGGCAGAGACTACCAATTGTTCCCCACTATCTCACCTCCTCTTATTTCCAACAGAATGCTTTGTTTTTAAATGGGAACAAGGCCACTCAAAATAAACACTGTATTGCTTAGCCTTTCTTTCTGCTAAGTGCAGACCTGTGACTAGGTTCCGACCAACTGGAGATAATTAAAGTGACATGTGGCTTTCAGAGAGTATTTAAAGGGATGGAACATATACTCTTCTCTGCCCCTCACTTTCATATAGACTGGGATGCAAATTTGATGGCTGGAGCTCAAGCAGCTATCTTGGACCATGAGATAAAAGCTGTATCTTGACTGCATCCCTCATATGCTGAAGCCTTAAAATGCCCTACTGCCTGCCTAGTTCTGGTCTTCATTTATACAGCTGAAAAAATAAACTTCTACTTTCTTTATGCCATTACTTTTCCTGTCACTTGCAGACAAACCAAACTATAACTTTTATATACATAAATATACATTTGTGTGTGTGTAATCTAGTTAAAGTCTTTCCTATACTAGTAGGTTTTATTATGTCATAGACAAACTCAAACCTAGAAAGTATAATTGTCTAAAGAAAAGAAATTGGTTTTCATGTAAGACCTGTAATTCAGTATTTCTTTCTTATTCATGGGAAGCCTATAATAAATATTTAAGCTCATTCCCACCCACCATGCCAGAATTAACACTGGAGTTTTACTATATTTATCAAACATCATAGTTAAAAGTATTTATGTAATAGTAACCCTGATTTAAGAATACCAGTCCCTAGAAGACAGTTACCAAGTTTTACTAATCTCAATACGCTTTACCTAACAAGTGCCTGACATACATTCCATAACCAATTAATAATAGTTGAATAAATACAAGACTTTGGATCCTTTGAAATTAATATTAATTCACAGAGATGTTTTTGATCTTATTTCCAGAACTTAAATTGGTCAGATTTTCATAATCTGAGATTCAAACTTTAAAAACAATTATGGGTTACATTACCTAGTCTTTTCCCTACTGTTTGCTGTTAACTTAGTTTTAGTACCTTTCAGATATTACTGCAAAATCTAAGAGAATAGTCAAAATTACAGGCACTACACATGCTCCTTTGATTTCTTGTTATTGATAAGAATACAAAGTCCTCGATATAATAATGAGGACTCAAGACGTGTCCATGAGAGGATGGTGACAAGGGTGAATACGGGGAGGCGAGAGTGACCAATAACCAACTCTCTCTCCTCATGCAGCAGCAAGTGAGGGAGTACAGTGTTAAGAATTGAGGCTGTTTATGAGCAGGAGTTTGAGCTGGATATTTAATATTCTTGGCTCTAGGAAAAAGGATAAATAGGAGGTAGACATGAGGACTGACAAAGGGTTTGAAACACAGGAGGTTATGTAAGGTGATAGTTCTGCAACACATAACCATTAGTCCAGCATTTTATTTACTTGTATACACACTGCATGAGGAAGGTGCAGTTTACTGTTAAAGATGCGCTTACAGGTAAGCTACTTGTTAACTTCTCTTTGTAGGTTTCCTCCACGCAGTCACATTCAAACCCAGCTTAGCACCCCCTTAACCCAGAGACTCTCCACCTGGATGGGGAGCCAAAAAGAGGGGATACTGACTACAGAAAAATGTATTAAATTTATAAGAGAAGGCATCTATAATTTTTAAATTTCTGTTTAATAGGATAGTATAATTTCTAATTGGAAAATTGTCATCATCCCTAATGTTTCTAAAAATTATTCTCTCTGGAAAAGATAGATGCCATGACCGAAGTGAATACAGTTTAGAGGATCACAGGCTGGAGCCTGCATCTAAATCTGCCAGTAACATGGGGCAAGTCACTTAACCTCTATGTGCCATAAGTTCCTCACCTGTAGCATCGGGGTAAGAATATTTCCTATCCAGTGTGCATCAGGCGAAAATTAAATGAGTTAACCCCTGTAAAGTAACTGGCACATTACTTTCAACATATTACATGCTCAATAAACACGTCTCATAATTATTGTTAGCTACTAGCCAGCGGGGGTTCAGAGAACACAGAATCTCTAAGAAGGCAGAGTATTCTGTTCCACTAAAGGGAACATATCAGTTTCTCTGCAAATCTCAGAGGATGTTCTTCCGTATGCAAAGAGAACTTTAATTAAAGCAGACTGAGAAATACTACTCTAAGCCTTAATCTCACTGGTTCCAGAGTAAGCGCTGTTCTTTGACAAAATCGTATTATCCCGGCTTCCTGCTCCTGGGCCTCTGGATGCCATGTACACGGTGCAGCCAGACGGGGGTCGAGGAGGACAAATGCAGCATCATGCTAGGACTGTGCAGTAATCAACAGAGGACCAGAAAGGCTGGCTCCCATCTTAGCCATTACCTCAGCTCAGTATTTGACAAAGAACGTAACCTAACAATAGCTTTGTTTTGTTTTTTCCCTCACAGAACCCAGAGCACCGAGCCCCACGTCTGCTTACAGGAAGCAACTCTAATTGCCATTTGACCCTTACCATTTTTGTTTTCCTAAAACTGCAACATCCCTGGGCTTCCATGGTGTCACTCCCTCCCAGGTCCCCTCCTATGCTGGCCTGACCCTGCCGTTTCAACCTCTGTCCCGGATCCTTTCCTTTCCCATCACTCAAGTACTGGCGCTCCCGAGATGCCTTTCTCCTGGAGGATCTCATCGCCCACAGCTTCATCTGCTGCCCACACATAGATGGCCCTTTCTCTCTACACTCCCGTCGCCCCCAGGGGCTGCTCACCCTTATTTTCTACAGGCCATAGGAGCTCTTGGGTTTTCTACAGGGGCACTGCAGATTCAGTATATCCAAAACAAAGCTGTTATCTTTCCCACCCAAATTCCTCCTTCTCCTGTCTTGGTTAACTACATCATCCTCTACTGTGTCTAGAGACAAAACATCAAGGAGCCATCAGTGATGCTCACGCCTACCTTCCTCCTCTTCCCCTCCAACCACACACTGCAAATTTTATCTCAATATTTGCTGAATCCGACTCATCATCTCTGTCCCTAGAGAGATATGACTTAGATGAGAACAACACAGTATGATCATTGGGTTCCAGCTCAAGACTAACATGACCTGAGTTTTCATCAAGGTTCTGTCACTAACTGCATGACCATGGGGAAATCACTTAACCTCCTTGAGCCTTAAGGATTTAATAAGCTAACACATGCAATGCCCTCAAAGTAGTAATGGGCACAAAAGTAAAACTCAGAAATATTAGTTACCGGTTTTCTTACTGTTAGCATGTGAAGTGTTGATATTGGTATTGTTACTGTTCCAATTATTATAGTGCTGGGCATAAAACTGATAAATGAAAAAGTGAATCATTTAGTTACCATGTATTATTAGTGTTGGAAGGAAGCCTGTTTCACAGGCCAAACTGAGGAGCTAGTCCCATTGTACGTTAAGTCAGTATGGGATTTCAACAAGTCTTTTTAACCATGTGAACTGTGACCATCACTTTAAAGTACAGATTAAAAATACCTAGCCTACCTATTCGCCTAGGTTTTTGTGACAACATCATGACAATATGTGAGCCCTGTGGAATAAAAGTAGCACTCCAAAAGGAAAAATGCTTACTATTAGTATATGACTTCATAGATATGTGACCCTTATGTTTACAACAAAACACTGAGATGAAGAAAACATACAGGGGATTAAGGGAAGGTAGCTTCTTAGTTTCTGAAAAAAAAATCATAATACAAGAAAAGGTAGAAAAAGATTAGGGAAGATGAGATTTCTTTCTTTACCAAGCTAGAAGGAAAATTTAAGTCAATAGAAAATTTAATTACCTTCAACCAATAAATCAAACTTAGGGGAATCCCCAAATAATATGGTATTTAGCACATGATGTGAACATCTTCCAAATGTAAATACAATCTTGGGTTGCAAAAGGAAAAAATTAGTGTTTTTCTACTAGATAACTGTTCCAATTGTATGTATACATTCTCTTGAAAAAATTTAACAGTAGCAAGGGAGGGAAGGGAAAAGAACAGAACTTCACTACCTCAGAAAGAAATCTGACGAAAGATAAAAGCATGAACAAGACCCGAGGGACTCCCCAAACAACAACCCAGTTAAAGATACTAAAAATGATGAAGTAAAGCCAGAAAACATCTTTGAGGGAAGTGTTTGCCTAAATTATTTTGGAGGTGGTTATTCAGTGAACAGAAACACATCTGGAAATGCATCTGGAAGAAAACTCAATTATTGAATCGCTGCTGAATAGTTCTTTTTATTTGCAATGTTCTTTTCTTCTATTCTGACAAACATTGCTATTTATGTTTCCAAGCCGTTAGGAATAAAGCTAGACAGAGGGGAAAAAAAAACAGAATAAAATAAAAATTTAACCTCACTTGTCTTTTATCAGATTGTGCTCCAGGACGAACACGTGGATGATTGGGACCGATGAAAGGGAGAAAAAGAATGTAGGATGTTAATGAGTTAGCATCACTGTTTTTTTTATTTGCAGACAGACTGGAAAAGGAGGTCACAGGACAGGCTGGACAGAGAGATAACTCTGGGATGCTCTTAGAGACATCATCCTGCCAAAGTGACCCTGGCTTCGTGGCCCTGTGCCCCTCCACCGTCTGAGTGTACAGGGCAGAGATCAGAGGATGGAACTTTCTGTGCAAGGCGGCCACTTCCCCTCAAATATGTTCTTCCCACTAAAATGTTCCTCTTCACCCGAGTGCCCGTTAGTTACTGGTTGTGGCATTTCACTTGGAAATCTCTGGGTGTGTAAATGGGTACTTCAGGGCTAAAAGGGTTAGTGTCCTGTGGGAAACAAGAGGAATTAATCCAGAAGTACGTAGTACATTGACAAATGATCATGGCAAATTCTGAGACAAATGATAACATAGAAGTAAAAGTCAAGACAAGGCTGCTACAGTATGGTGCAACTTAATTTAGATACGTGCAACTTGCAAGCAAGAACACAACTGGGCATTACTTCATTCCAATTTTACTGACTGAGGGAGATGGATCTTGTCTCCCAAGTTTAAGATCTAGTAAACATACACCAAAAGGCCACTGGACTGCTAACAAAATAATCTGTGTCAACAGTTAGGTCTTTTGATATACAAACCATTTCATTTCTTAAACTGTATCTATCAAAGGGACATTCTTAGATACTTCTTTCTTACTTTCATGTGTGAATTGGAAGGCTCAGTGATTCTTCTACTGAGCATTAGAACATATGCTTGAGAGGAGAACTTTCATGCTGCACCAATTTTTAAAAAAACCGATGTGAATATATGTTGGGGAGTGAATGAGTACATTCAATGCTGCTCAAACGGGGAAAACCCAATTAAAGTTTATGTCCAAGGCCCCAAGGTCCTGGGAGCCCTAATTATATCCTCCTTACATACCAGAGTGAAAAACCTTCTCAATGGGAAAGGAAGTCTTTAAAACTACATGAGAAAGCAAAAATTAATGATTCGAGTTTTAAACTTGTTTTAATCTCAGTATTATGTGAAAAAGATAACAGAGAAGGCAGGTAAGTGACCTGTAATAAAAGTAGTAAAATTTATGAGGTCTTTACTAAAAATTATAAAAACATACATCTAAAACCAGAATCACATCTCTTGCTTTTGTTCTGTGTAGTTTTCCTCCATATCCCTCCAAAGCCCATCATGTATTTTAAGGAATCATCTTATCCCTTTAAATAAAAACATCAAATTACTTAGTTAATTTTCCAACTGGATTAATCAATCTGAATAGAATCGTTTCCGTTATGAGTGTCTGCTCATGACCAGCTGTTTTAAATTAGTATATTAAGTAATTGAGACACTTTTCTTTGCAAAGGTTGCATGATTTAATAAATTCCCATATGCCCCAACATGTGCCAGCACTACGAGGTTATCTCCAATCCAGCTGCTGTTATGATAGGAGCTGCCAACTTTCAGCCAACTGAAGAGAATAAGAATCAGCTGCAAGTTGGCTCGTATGTGAACTTCTTCTGCTCCCAGCTAAAACACAGGCCAATTTCAACCATAAAGCAAATTAATTAAAAAGCCTTCACCTCCGCTGTTTGTGCAACATGGCACGACAAATACCGCTGCATCAGTGGTTGGAGGGCCTGCAGCTTCAGGTAAGATCCTATAGCTTGGATTTCAGTCTTAAATGCTGTCGGTTGTTTTTTTTTACAGATTGGATTTTTTGAGGAAATAGATCAGGAAATGTCTTGTGTCCCTAAATTTGTAACATGAATATTCGAGAAGCCTCACACTGCTGGAGAATAAATAAATGAGACTTTTGTTTGTTAAAGGCTCATTACAAAAAACGGACTTCAAAGGCTTCAGAGGAAACAAGAGGTAAATGAAAAGGGCCACATGTACACAGAAGCTAAAAAACAGAAGAACAGAGCACCAGACGCACAACTTTGAGTGAGAGCCACTGTCTGAATGAGCGTGATGCATAAAACAGTGGTAGTGTTAGACCCTCGTTCTAAGAATGACAATACTGCATTAAATTTTGATTAAAAATTGGACAGAACAATTTTGTGCGGATCAGTTATCCAGACTAGGGGTTCTATAGAAACCTCTGAAACTTGGATGTTTCCAATAAGCACGAATCTAATGTGGCATAAAGCTATGCTAGTTTTTTTTATAGGGGAAAGTAAACACGTAGAGCAGAAGTCTGCTTATAATTTTCCATTTATTTCTAAATGCCCATCATAGTTGGAAATGACTCCCTGGATGGATGGACTTCCCTGAGGACAGGAAAACTTACCCACTGAGGAGCAGAGTTAGGTCAGAGAGTCCTCAGATGAGTGAGGCTCCACTGTTTCTCACAAGCAACAGAATGGACTGGATGAGACATACAATTCTTTGGTGCTGATGAACTGTCTAAAACTATATATAGCCCAGAGTTAATTTTTAAAACATCACCTGGAGATGCTAACTGTCTTAACTTCTATTCTACAATTCCAGTGATTCACAGCACTTGAAACTGAAATTGTGGATGGATCGGTGAGACGGGGTGTCTTCTCCAGGCATCTCTAATTTCCTCTTTCTGGGATCTCCAGTATTTCCAACCCTGGAGCCCTGGGTAGATTACTTGGCTCTGGAGTCTTCCAGACAGTTGGGATAGTTCTAGAAAAGCCACATGGATGCCTCAGGGTAGTTCAGAAATCAAAGAAATAACAATGAGCTTAGCGCTGTTTTCTCAAATCCTTTGATGTGATCATCTTTTGACCCCTATTTAGCTCATGGATGCTGTTGAAACTGTTCAAGATGCAACAGATTTAAAAGGTCCAACTCTGGAGTAACACAAAAGGCTAGACCTTGTTGAGAAGTCATTGCCTAGTTAAGCAGTCGCAGTAATTCCCCCAAACAACTGAGTCAGCACTCACCCAAACAGAGGTGGAGAAGTGTTGATTCCTTAATCTCCTTGAATCACATCAGTGTAACTTTTGGAAAGTGTTCTAGTCTACTCTGCATAACAGGATGCATGCCTACACTCGGAAAAATCTTGTGCAACAGCTATGAACTGTGTGCACCATCTGCTACTGCTCTAATAAGCAAGAGGCAAGAAACTTCACAGGTGTAAGTATTTATTTGCAGTTTTGAAAACATGCCATTTACCAGTGCCAGCGTGCCCAAAAGGTCTCTCTTCCATGACACAAGTTTACCTATAACAAGCTAGAAATAAATGCAAAGGAGGGACAGGCCAATGAGAGACATCCAACATAAACATTCTTACTCTTCAGCCTTGCCCTCAGTTCTGTTCAAGATCAGGAAGTATTAGAGATGAGAGAGATCCATCATTATTCTGTTTTCTACTGTGAAAGTTGTATATACTCAATGAGTATACAAGTAAAATTCATCCTAGAATAAATATACTTTCTACTGACTGATTTGAATATTCAAACAATTAGCTGTATTTGCTTGAATGCACACTACGTGTCTTTATTTCTGGTGGTGAGGATAATCAAGACATGCCGGGGGTGGGGATAGGGGTGGGGGACATATAAAGGGAAGATGAGGAAGGACAGAGAAAGAAAATAGAAGAAAAAGATTTTTAAAAGATTTGTATACAGTCAGGACAAGCGATTAACTGAAGGTGGAAAAAATAATTGCTTCCAATTTGTATAAAGCAATCATATCCATGTAGTACTCGGTACAAAGGTACATAATTATAAACAAGAAGATGGAAATAAAGTTATATTTTAATTAAGAAACACAACAGAGGGAAAAATTATGGGAAAAAATTGTGGAAAGTAGGAAGAGCCACGCCACAAATATGCCAAGATAAATGACACAGCCCCAGAGGGGGGAACAGGGCCCCAGACTTGAGAACTTCGCGATGACCTTGGCCTGCACCATTTCCTGCCTTGTATAATCACAGAAGGCATTCAGTGTTTGGTGATGATGAGAAGTGGGATTTTGAAGAATATAATTATAGGCTGCAAGTGTTTTCTGTGGAAACAAAATTATCATTCACGTCTGAGACTGGGTAAATATGCCTTAATTTTGGTCCATGGCAACTTGAACTTTAAAAAAACAGAATCCCCAGACCGCCTTATACATCTCAATTCTTCAAGAATACTCCAGGGATAAGTGTGTAGAGGCAGAAACATTCTCAGATCCTCTTCAAAAAATGCTATTTTGTATAAAATTATCTCTTTTGTAGTGACATGATTTGAGCTACCTCCATATCAAAAGCAGCTGACAACTTCAGAAGGCCACATTAAAGAAGGTTTAAGCAGAGCAAAGCTAAGGCAGTTTTCATC